AATTATTCGTCTGCTAGTGATATTTGAGGATTTTGAATGAACTATGTTTAAAGTTTGTTCGCCGAGCTGTAAAATCGTGTACATAAACACACACACACACACACACACACACACACACACACACACACACACACACACACACACACAATCACATACACACATGTGTGTGTATGTGATTATATATAATATATATATATATATATATATATATATATATATATATATATTAAAATATATATGTTATATACATATATATATATATATATATATATATATATATACATACATATATATATATATAATATATATATATATATATATATATATATATATATATATATATATATATATATTACACACACGTGTGTGTGTGTGTGTGTGTGTGTGTGTGTGTGTGTGTGTGTGTGTGTGTGTGTGTGTGTGTGTGTGTGTGTGTGTGTGTGTGCGTGCATGTGCGTGTGTGTATACACGCACGCACGTGCGCAACATGAGGTAGAAAAGGGCCATCTGGAAAGAAAAAGTCTTCTCTTAGGTAAATCGAGAATCCAATGAAGAGAGACTTTAGTGATAGCATATCCAACGTCCAAGTATGGAAAATATGCTAGGCTTCCAAATCTTTCCTGTCCTTAAAATGACAGTCGAAGACAAGGCCAAGACGAGTACAAGTACACACAAGAGAGAGAGAGAAAGAGAGAGAGAGAGAGCGAGAGCGAGAGAGAGAGCGAGAGAGAGCGAGAGAGAGAGAGAGAGAGAGAGAGAGAGAGAGAGAGAGAGAGAGAGAGAGAGAGAGAGAGAGAGAGAGAGAGAGAGAGAGAAATCACATATAGATCAATGGCAGCTCGTCAACAGGTGTATGACCCCATATACCTTAAACTAAATTAACAAGTATGTCATACCAAAATATTTATACACTGCATTTTCAAAATATTCACAAATGATGTTAAAAATCCCATTAAAGACAAAACAGAAATTTTATGCTGCACTATTGTAGAATTCGACCTGGTAACGAGGAATTGCAGTCAGTCACGTGTCGTTTATGGACATACATTGCGTATAACTGAGTGTTTTAATGAATTCATTTTTCTTTATTTAGTTTTCTTTTGATTATCACGCCTATTTTATTGATATATGAAACTTGCAGTGATGCAGACTCTCCATTACATTTTTATCAAAGCAGTCAATGATATGTATGTATAATACATAAACACAGACACACACACACACACACACACACACACACACACACACACACACACACACACACACACACACACACACACACACACACACACACACACACACACACACACACACACACACACACACACACACACACACACACACACACACACACATTGCTGATATAAAACGTAACACGGTTATATTTTCACGTTAAGTTTTACTGTGAATAAACGTTTATACATATAAATATAAGATAGTCTCAGTGACGCTGACTGAATTATTTAAGATCCATCATTTATGATTCGATCCTTTATGAAAACTTCTGTAAACAATGTTTTCTTTTCTGATCCACATCCTAAGCCTTTTCAACTTAACAAAAACGTGTTTCTGTCAGAACTTTTCGCATTTCTCGAATTCCATCAAAAGTTCCTTCATTCCTGGCGAACTAAAGCGTTTTGAACGGATGCAGGTTTCTCCAAAGTAATTTACTCCGTGGGCAAAATTAATAATGGTAGCTTCTTTTTTCCTCGGGACGTTTCTTGTTCGTATATGTGTCCATCAAATTCCTGTTACTCATGTCTGAAGGAAGATAATATTCATTGTAATGAACTGTTGACAAGCGATCCAGAACTGAAGGCCGGATTTATGTTCCTTATGCAAATCGTGTAATCCCCCCTCTGAATCTACAGCCATTGGAGGTAAGATGTACGATTTTCGCTTACGTAATAAAGTATGGTTCTTGAGTGAGTATACTGGCGATGTAGTGTAAATGTTTAGGCGAATGAGAGAAACCAGTAAAGACGTGCATGGCACACGCCACGCTTTGTGCGCACACTTAATTTGTCCAACATATAAAACATCAACATATTTATTGGCATCCCATTCCCCACATGCAAATGATTCATCGTCGGTGGCAATACGCGAAACAATATAGTCGCAAAGCCGATGTGTAAACCCCGATAACGCTGAACCTTATCATGGCCAGCAGTTCATTTCATTCCACGATGTTGTGCACAGCTCTCACCTGACGCTGCGCTAAGAGGCCTAGTCTATTTTTGTAGTTATGGAAGAGAGAAGAGGACAGCTAGATGGCCAGGTGAGTGAGAAATCCCAGGCGTTTGTAGAAGCGTTGGGGAAAATTTCTGAAAAATAATAATGTCATTTCATACGTAACCAAGGAGAGACTGGCTCCCCTGATCGATACGGCCCGCGTTCGAATGCCTGGCATGCCATGTGGCTTTGACGGGGAAAGGGCTTTCTGTACGAGGTTTTAGGATTTTTTTTTATAGGGGATTAATTCGGAAAAGAAATTAATTTA